GCAGGAATTTAGTGTTTTCTGGATTCACTTGAAATTAGTAAATAAGGGGAAAGACACACAGACAAGTTTCTTTCACTGCTTTTTATTTTATTTTTTTGAGACAAGGTCTCCTTAAGTATCTTCAGCTGATCTGGAACGCCCCCTTTAAAGACCAGGCTCTGCCTCCAGAGTGCTGGGATTCAATGTGTGTGCTGCCATGCCTGGCCGCTACTAGACGATTACTGAAATGTAGTCTCTTCTCCTCCATCCTAGCCATGTAGTGTCACACTATGTACATGGGGGACACACCCACAGACTGTGTAAATAGCTCTACTGACTTTTCTGCCCTCCTGTGGAGAGATACTCTATTTTTAAAGAATCTACACACAAGGGGAATCTGCCTTCTGCCTCCTACCGTACCCTCTCTGTACTAAGTGTCTACACCACAGCCCTTTGCCCTGGCCCTATGCTGGTTTTCTCACTGGGTCACCACTCCACTGCCCCCTAGAGGATAGCCCTTTAATTTCCACTTCTCACAAAGGATCTTCCTCATCATTAGCTGTGATCTTTACTTCACCAAAATAAATAAATAAGACATATTGCGAGGCACGAGCCTGCTCTTTCCTCCCTACCTGAAAAATTACTGGCGTTAGCCATTCTTTATGGCTGAGTCAAAGAAGCTGGCATCTATCTGCTGTCCTTGTTTCACTGACTATTTCCTCTTCCCTGTTGTCTCTTTCCTCTTAGACCTGGAGAAACACAAACAGTATGCTCCAGATCACACTACTACTCCTATGAACACCCTCAGGCCCTATCCTCTTCACCTCGGCACTGGACCTCAAGGAGGACTTCGACATTTGTCTCTACCTGCTGTGACTCCACCCCCAGTCTTAGTTCAGACTAAGTACGGCAATGAAGATGCTGGTCTATCATGGCTGTTAAGGGATGGTAAAGTAGGTCAACTACAACCATCAGGCTTCAGCACTGAACAAAGAAAATAGTCATTTCTATTGTTTTCTCCTGAAGATTTAAATGTAATATGCCAAGTGGCTCAAGACACCCTTCTGAACCATTCAGCTTAGGTGACACCATTTCCTGAGGAGTTTTCAAAGCAGAGAATTACTAGCACCATGCAACAACATGCAATGTCATAAGAAACATTTAGGAAGGCTTGGTACTCAGTATTTGCTGTGTGGTATGGTGATAACTACTTGAAATATATTTTTATACCTTCTGTACAACGTGGCATACGATACTGATTCCCTTTCACAGCTGACAGTCTGTTGCAGAGACTGAAAGAGCCAGCTACAGCTAAGAACTGAGGGGAAGGTGGTCAACTTGGCATTAGTGACTAAAGCCACCCCAGCATTAAAACAAACAAACAAACAAAAAAACCTTGTAAATAAGTCACTGCCAACAACACTGAGAAGCCAATGCTCAAGACTTGTTAACAGTGATGAATTTCTGATGTGGAAAGAGACTGCACCTGACGTCTGCCTGTACTGGGGCCACTGAAGGCCAAGGGATGGGGTGGGATGGAGGGGCCTTCCCCTTCCCCACAGCCAAGGTCTCAACAGAATACTCAGTCACCCAGAGCATCAACCTGTGACTACTACTAACAGCTACAGCAGAGTCAAAGTCAGCAGGCATGCTATGTGGAACGACTACCCCGTACTGAACAGCACCGTTACCTGGTAACACAGTGACACAATTTAATGATTCTAAGGATTTTTTTTGTAATTATTTTTACAAGTCTGGTGCCATAAACATTCAAATAATCTCTCTTAAAAAGCATGTTTACAACATCAAAAGAATTAAGATGAAATATAAACTTCTCTTACAATTTTTATACACATTAACCAAATCACATAAATCACAGATAAATGTTCAAGTTTAACAATATAATGAAACAACATTTAGATTCTTAATAAAATCTTCCTTCAACATTTATTTTTTTAAACTTACCATTATCCTAAATAATCTATGCATTTTGGGATACAATACCAAAAATGTACCAACAATACAAAGCAGATACAAAGCAGTGTAAGAACTTCTGGAGTGTTCTGCAGGGATAAATGGCACAAAAGGGCAACAAGCTTTAGGTAAACCTGAAGCAACCCTAGAGACTCTGATCCTGCTGTTGTTGATCTACCATGTCAAGCTGGACACTGTATGAGAAGTCACAATGACTCCCTTCTTCCACATTTCTCATCTGGGTTTTAGGTACCATATTTCACACAGTAGCACAACAATTTTAAAGCTCAAATGCTTTAAAAATGCGTAGGCAAAAGAACTGCTCAGATTTTCAAAACCATTATTACATTTACAAAAATATTTCCCTTAAACTTGGGATTGTTTCAAAACACTGATTTACAAATATAAAAGAATTATGAAGGACCCAAAGCATATGCATATATGAGTTTGTGTATTAACATACCATTACCATACTATATAAGTCACCAAAAATTCAAATGTAACTATTAATATTAACATGAGTGTTACAAGCAGATGAAACTCTTCCCTAAGTGGTCTGAACACTATGTGGCATGCAGTGTGGATGGTTGACCTTTGTGATCCCTCAGAGACATCTGCTGTTAATATACAGCTTTTCAAAGCTAATGGTCACCTCCACCCCACTGCACTGTCCCACTCACAGGAGCAGGAATGAGGTGAGCGAGCACACACGCACACACACCATTCTTTACTGAGAGGCCTCAATGTAGGTGAGTGTTGGCTCAACACTGGGCAGAAGGCTTTAAATCTGTCTTGGATTGTTGGGCAGGTGTCTTCTTGAACTAACTAAAAGGAGCATAATTTTCTCACCAGTGTTCTGCTCAAATTTTCAGACATGGAAAAACCTACCACTAGACAGTTTATCTGTGTATATACATAATGGAGGCACTCAATGTCACCAGTGTATCTTGGAAATGTGAGAAGAACCAAAGTAATGAGTGTGACCATACATGACAGCTACTAGCTGTCACAGTTACAGTGGCTACATGGCCTCGAGTGTGTCATATGCCGTGCACATAATGAAAGCTATCCTAGTTGTGGCATAGTGACTGTAAGATGCAGTGAGTGGTTTCAGGCTACACTCATCCCACAGTACCAAGATTGGGGAGCACAGACAGCTCAGTCTAGAAGGTGAGGTTATGGTTTCCTTATTTAGAAGATTGCAAATTAATCTCATAATATAATACGAAAACCTCCCTTAGAAATATAAAGAAAAAATAAGTAGGAAAACTGTCAATGCTTAAAAAAAAAAAGAAAAATGAAAACTTACTACTAGTGTATTATTAGAGCTGAGTGGACTTCATGTGTGGAAGTGAAAGGCAGTGACTTAGGGCAAGAATCGAGATCCGGCTTGTGAGGAGGAGTCAGCCATGCTGCAGGCAGGGGAGGTGTATGTGTGTCACTCTGAACCTGGCAGCAGGTACCATGGGCTCTGAGCAGCCCTTCTCACAGCTCTAGGGTCACACAGGCAGGAAGGCCCTTTTCAGAAGGAACCAAATTCCAGCCTGGTATGTTTGGACTATGTCATAATTGTTTGCTGTCCAGAGGAATGAGGAGACGACCTTTTTTTTTACTTGCTTTTTCGAGGCTGGGCCTACACAGTCCTGGACTTCGCTGGCCTCCAATACAGAGAGCCACCTGCCATGCTTTCTGAGGGCTGGGACTAAAGGTGTGCACCATCACAGTTGGCAGAGAACCTAAGCCATCTTATATAAACAGCTGTGTGGGGCAGTGCAGGGAGGGGGTGGGTGGAGAGGAGTAGAATGAGGCCCAAGATCTGTCTGAAGCACAAATTATAAATTGATTATGACTATCCACTTAAGACACACCGATCCAGAGGAAATCAACACTGAATCGTATCATCAGTGTAAAGATAAAGATGTACATTTATTTCCATGAGTTACAAGTGCATTGCTGTTCATACTAGCAGGCAGTCTATATAGAATCCATTCTCCATTGCTGTCAAAAAACAAGGGAGAAAAACAAAAAAGACAGCTGAGAAATGAAGAGCTAATACTAGAATTATCTTTCCTAAGTTATCTTCTGGGTAGCAGTCTCTCTGTGGAAAACAACTCAGAGGTCACAATAGATTTTACTCAATCACAGGCTGTGACACTTGGACAGTGATCTCTGCACAGAAAGCCTTAACAGTCATGCAAGGGCACAGTAAGTATGGAACAAGGCAAACTTCTCACCAGAGAGCAGTGAGGGGGGTCAGGAGGCACTGCACTGGGATACACCATCAACTCCACAGCACACAGCGCAGGAACAAAATAGAGAGGCAATCAGTAAATAGGAGAGAGCTCGAACAGTTACTGCTAGTCTTTTATGACATTAACTCAGCAGTACCAGAAACACCTCAACTTGGCAACAGAACAGAGCTTCATGATGAGAGCTCATGAAGGCTTTATTACAAGTCATTAAACTGCTGAAAAGTGGGTTTGAGATGCTGACATGCTGTAAGAGAAGAACTGTACACTTTCTCATTTAAAGACGCAGCGTTCCTCTTAGCTAAATCCCAAGGCAGTGGATGTGGTTACGCAAACAGCCTTCTGTGTGAAACAGCTCAAGGCATATATGGAGCTCCTCCCTGAACATCTAGGTCAGCTTGCTCTCTACTTCACCAGAAACTTCTACAGCTCAGTGCTTATACATCTTGCAGCAAATGACAAGCACAGCCGTTACTTTAAATCTCTGGTTAAGGACAGCACCTAATATGTTGGCAAGTGCTATACCTCCATTACAGTACAAGAAAACCTGTAGAGTAACATTGCCAGTGCAAGGCTTCCTTTCTAGAAGAATGATCAATTTTTTAGAAGCTGGGCAAATAGCACATACCTTAAATATGGAACTAACATGATACACAGAAAAATGCCCCCAAGACTCCCATGATAGAAGCACATGCCCCTGCGGCCTGCAATACCATCCAGGGACGTCCACAAGCTCCTGCTCTGGGTAGACAGTTTCTAGTCAACAGATGAAGTGCAAATTTTGAGCTGTCACTGACTTAAAGTGCCTTATGTAATAGCATTCTTTACTGTAAAGCGAGAGTCAGTGACTAGAGCCAGTTTGGAAAGACTCTCGCCCTGGTGAGGCTGCATGGTTCAGCAGGATGACATGTAAAGGATTCAGGAGAGGGAGGAACCACTGCATCTTTCAAACCAGAAAGCAGTTAGTGACTAAGCAACAGTATGCAGTAAGTGCACTCAATGTGCACACTGCTGCAGGGCACTGTTGCCAGGAAACATCTCTGGATGAAGGGATTCTGTGAAAGTATAAAAGCCACTACTACCAGAAACTGCCCCTCCAAGCGGCTCAAAGGAGTCAGAGTGGGTAAGTTGAGACGGGCTGGAGACAGGACCAGGGGTCAAGAACTGGGAGGAACACCGACATCTGAGCACGTCCAGTCCTCTGAGCCCTTGTCCTGTAAAAAAAAGACAAACTCAGGAGTAAGGATTGAGCCATGTCACAATAAAGGCAGTAACAGTACAAAACGGCAAGGTAAAATGTAATGGGAATAAAGAGCCATAAAAAGGTCACTGTATTCTTACACATACATGACACCTGTAACATGCAGGTCCTGAAGGCTGGAGCTCGGCCTCATTTCAGCCATCTTTCTCAGACAACCCCTGCCCCCCTCACCAGACATGGTTTCTCTGTAGCTTTGGTGCCTACCCTGGAACTAACTCTGTAGACCAGGTTGGCCTCAAACTCGAAGATCCACCTGCCTCTACCTCCCGAGTGCCGGGATTAAAGGCATGCACCACCACTGCCCAGTTTTTCAGACAATTTTTAAGATCTGCGTTGGTACACTGTGGTGGTTTGAATGAAAATGCCCCTCCATATGGGAGTGGTGTTACCACAGTGTGGCCTTGTTAAAGGAAGTGTGTTACTCGGGGTGGACTTTGAGGTTTCAGAAGCTTGAGCCAGGCCTAGAGGCTCAGTCTCTTTTCCTGCTGCCTGCCAATGTGGATGTTAGAACTCAGCTACCTCTCCAGCACCATGTCTTCCTGTACACCGCCATGCTGATAATGGACTAAACCTCTGAACTATAAACCAGCCCCAACTAAATGTTTTCCTTCATAAGCGTTGAAATATGAAGGAAATTATGGTATCAATTATGGTATCTCTTCACAGCAATAGAAAAGCTAAGATACGCAGTGACTAAGGGAAGACACACGCCCACATTTAATCACAATCACAGCATTGTTGGCTTACCCATACACCCTTCATTAACAATGTAGCACCCTCCACTCCAACAGCCAAACACCAGAGTTTAAAGGATCTTTTTAAAATATCGCATCTCTGCTGAAAAGACCTTCCTATCTTAGAAAGTTCCCTTTCTGCTAGATAAACAGGCAGGACAGTCACCTATGCTTGCAATGGGATGATGGGGTTGCTAATACCCAAGTTTTCTCTTACTGAGAACAAACTAAGCCCCGATGGGAGTGAGAGCAGTAGGCATGGATGCTGAAAGAAAAGAAGCTGTAGCTGGGCTCCATGCTATAAGGTGAAATTAAGCAGGTCAACGGCTTGTCATCTATCTTTTGGTCAGCAAAACATCCGTCTGTATTCAGCAAGACACCTCTCCCTCCCCTCCAGCAGCCTGCATACGGCTGGTCATCTGCAACGTCACTATAGAAAAACACAAGTCATACCTCTCTTTACTTTTCTGAAGTATATTTTTACTTGGGAAGAGACCATACTCCAAATCTACTCCCACCATAATGCAGTCCAGTGAGCGAGTCAGGGCCCCCAAAGGTCTGAGTATTAGGAGTTCCTGGAGGACTTGTTGAAGTTCACACTACTGGGGGTAAACATGGCCGACACTCAGGCTGCCACAGAGTATCCACTGCACATAACAGTTCAGCCTCGCTAGTACCCATCATTTTGTAATATCTCTTGAGAAGAAAAAGTGCTGCCATGTAAGTCCTATGTTGTATCTGATTCTGATAAGGAAATCTAGTTGGGCTGGTATAGTGACCAAGTGCTTCTAATATTAGAAAGATCTTCTCTTTGGAATTTTACTGATTTGACATGCTGATAGTACAAAGATCTGGTGGTGTTGCTTTGATAGGCCGCAAACAACTTCAGGGATAAGGCTTTCACCCGCCACTCAAGAGACAGGGTGGAGGCCAGATGTGTGGTGGCACATGTCTTTAATCCCAGCACTCAGGAGACAGGGGCAGGTGTTTCTCTGAGTTTGATGCCAGCCTGATCTATACAGAGTGATTTCAAGGTTAGCCAGGGACACACAGATAAACCCTGCCACCCCCCTCAAAAGTCAGGGTGGGAAGGGTAAGTGCCATAGGTCAACTACTTACAAGGCCATACGCTGACAGGTTAACGAGGCCCTAAAATGCTTCTATCTTCTAGGAAACAAAGGGAGCTGAGGGTAATGCTCTTAGTAATCCACCTGCCTAAGGAAACTCATAAAGAGGCTGAGAGAAGAAAGGCCTGCTTCTACATCTACAGAAGGGGGGACTGAGGAGATGGCTCTGGATGAGTATGAGGTCACTGAAAATGCCCATAAGCAAAATGCAATTACCACCCCCCCCCCTTCAGAACTGCTCAGGCCACAGATAGACACCTGAAAGCTAGCCCCAGGCAGTAGGTGTTTGAGGGGACAACTTTCAGTTGTACGCCCCTCCCTCTAACGTCCCTTTATCTCTCAGCACTCCCTATCCTCAGCTTGGAGCTTGTCTGAGCTCAAGAACATTCCTTCATACTGCTGTCAAGTTCTCAGATCTATGACAAAGACTGAGGAGTATGACCACACGCAAAATGAGCCCGAGAGGATCTGTCTCTGTCAGCATACACGTCAGTGCTATCTTCTGAATTAATTTTTACTTTTTTTATTTAAAAAATTATTATTTATTTTATGTGTATGGTGTTTTATATGTGTGTAGTGACCATGGAGCCTGGAAAAGGGAGGAGGATCCCCTGGAACTGGAGTTATAAGTGGTTGTGACCACCATGTGGACACCTTTCCTCTGGCCCCTTATTTTTATGTTAAAGAAATAAACTGTAAGTCAGTCTAGACGGCAATTTCCCCTTGAAATGTTTGAAATGTATGAAATATATGAGATGGGTCAATAGGTAGACGGAAGAAGAGACAGACTGGTAAGAGGAGAAAATGAGTGCAGTCAAATATCCATGGCACCTGGTGGTGGGATATGAGTATTTACTTTAAAATTTTTTAAATTCTTCGGAATAGTCGAAAACTGTCATTGAAAGCACTGGGAAAATATCAAGCTTTAAGCATATATGGTTCTCCAGCACTAAACTGATGTAATAATATTATTGGCTTCTTGTCAACACCACCTTACTGCCATCTTGGCTGTTTGTCTGCAGTGACCACAGAAACAACTGTTCCTTCCAGCTGCTTCTCTAAGTCTTTTCCCTTGTAAGTACTCCAGCCCCATCTAGAATGCTTTACTCACTGTTAATACATCTAACACAAATTCTATTTTCTCTTCTTTTACCATATTCTCCCTTAAGCTCTTGTACCTAAGTTCATGAACTTCAGTCCAGGAACATACAATCCTTCTGAGAGATCAGTCTAGACTTTGCCTCAAGAAAGCTTTTTTCAGTTTCTCTAGCCCATACTTCACGTGTGAACCATAGCAGTGGCATCTGGCACAGCGACATATGTGGACCAGGTCCACCAGGAGATTCTCTAGCACAAGTACTTGGGCTACTTCTTTTGGATCTGTCTCATCAGGGGAGACAATCGGAAAACTCAAGCATTGTGGATTACTTCTTCTGCAGCTGTACTTTATTCAAGAGGGAGTCAGCCCAAGAACACAGAATGGACAAGAACTGCAAGATGAACAGAGTTGCCAACAAGGCCCATTCATCCCCTTGAGTACAGATAAGAGGGACAAGTAATCCCTAATAAAACTTGGTACTGTGGTGATGGTGTGATGGAAGGAACATGACTCCTAAAGAGTAAGTAACTTTCAAATAATCTTTAGTTCTAATGTAAAGAATTACAGAAAAGAATACAAAATGATGGCCTATCTTGAGTTATAAGACAGAATATGGAGGGACTGCTAGAGACCAGACTGCTACCCTGAACACACAAAGCTTAACAAGAGACTCCTCCTCTCTTTGAAACCACTCACGCTTTCTTTTCAAAAGAAGATTTTATCTATTACATATACAACATTCTGTCTCCATGTATGCCCACACACCAGAAGAGGGTGCCAGATCTCATTACAGATGGTTGTGAGCCACCATGTGGTTGCTGGGAATTGAACTCAGGACTTCTGGAAGAGCAGCCAGTGCTTTTAACCACTGAGCCATCTCTCCAGCCCCCCACTCATGCTTTCTAGCCAGCACAAGAAGTACTGTGCACTACACGTTCCATTCTCCAACTGAATCCTTCAAAACATGAAGCTACAGTATCACAGCATGAAAACCATTTCCTTCCTTTTTTTTTTTTTTTTTTTTAAAATCGAGACAGGGTTTCTCTGTGAAACATTTCTCGCTATTCTGGAACTCACTTCGTAGACCAAAGTCACAGGGATCCACCTGCCTCTGCCTCCTAAGTGCTGGGATTAAAGGCATGCACCACCACAGCCCGGTTATGGGACTGTTTATTACTTTTTCTCTCTTCCCATGCTGTGCTCCTCTCCTTCCTTTCCTGGATGTCTTCTGAACAGTCTCCATGATCCTCCCCTCACACACTCACTGTCTTCCTACGTGTAACTCCTATCAGTGTTTGTCATGAATGGCTTCCATTTAGTTACAGTGTTTAGTGAATAAAATTCTATCTTTTCAAATCTTTATTTTTTAAATGTTTTTATTATATATTAATTATACATAATAATGGGTTTCACTAACATTTTCATACATTATAATGTATTTTGAGCATATTCATCCATTATTCTTTAACCCCCTTTCCCTCTTCATTCATTTCCTCTTCTCAAGTCTTAGAAGTGTAGCTCAGTGGTACACTTGCTTAGCGTGCATGAGGCCTTGGATTCAATCCCTAACACCACAACCAACCAACCAACCAACCGACCGACCGACCAACCACACAGTCCCAAGGCCACGAAAGTTACACAATAGAATTTAGAATTTCTGAACATTTAAAATGTCATATAAAGTAAAATAAAGCTTTTCAGGAGTAAATGCCTCAAAGCTGTTCCTTCCCAAGTACTGTTCTCACATATACCCCCACCCCCACAATACAATCACTGTCATAGTGTCTAAGAGCTGTCACTTTATTTCATGTCCTGATATCTGTGAAAGATGAAGTCTAATTTCTTCATTTCACACCATGAAGCAATCAGAAGGAAAGCTCTATCAATCCAAGGAGGACACACGAAATTTCTTTTCCTTCTAAAGATGTTTTTAACTTGTACCATCTCTCCCTTGCTAGGGGGTTAACTGTATAGTTAAAATTCTAGATACCTGACCAATTTAAGATCTGTATCCTGGCTGGAATCTAGCAGTCTCTTCAAAAATGAGTTCTTTGAGCTTCTCCTTAGGTAAGTCATCCAATTCCATGTCAAACTTGAATGGTGCTTCAGCAATGGGCTTTAAGACAAAAACAGTATTTACTAGTCACAAATTGTCATGATCAAGGCAGTGATTTACTTATCTATAAGTCTGGCTTAAATTCTGAAATTTATACAATAGGATTAATGCCTCACAAAATCTGAAAAGTCCTAGGGCTTAGTGTGCAGCTAAGTGGTAGCATGTGTGAAGTTCTGCACACAAAAAGAGAGGGGGGCATAACCACGGTTATTTTGAGAATTTCTTGAACTTATCACATCCCCTAGAAGGATTTTCAAATGTTTTAAGGCACTAAATATCTCAGTAACAAAAGTAGAGGTGGTTTTATATAAACAAAAACATAAAAAAAAAAAAACTATCCAGAGGACTGTTGAATGTTAGGTCAACATGGAAAACTTAGCGAGAACTTGTCTTACAGCAAAAACAGAGCTGGGGATGTAAGCTCAGGGTAGATCACTTGAGACCTGGGCTCAATGCCTCGTACTACAAAACAAAAATGTTACACTAAGACATTTGAATTATATGAAGATGAGTATTGTGGAGTAATACCCATGTATGCATAAGTAAATGCATCCTACTTTACTCACCAATGCATATAAAAAATAAACAATTAAAAAATTAGATATAAAGTATGTTAGTCTGTTCTCAGGAGCTATCACATCTACCTCTGGATTCATTGGAATGGCACAATGGGAAGAGTCATGAGGTCACAGTGTGAGTCACTGGCTAACTAACTCTACTTGCTGTCACAACAGAAGGCTGCCTATCTCTTCACCCTCAACCCTCAGGACCAGTACATAATTCATCTATCTCTTTCTGCCATAAGCCATTACAATTTCTAACTGTGGGAAGCATAGGCTCATGCTTGAATACTTATCCTCAGTTGGTAGAACTATCTGGGAGGATTAGAAGGTGTGGCCTTTTTGGAGGAGGTATGTCAAGGAAAGGGCTTTGAGGTTTCAGAAGACTTTTGAGTTATCTCCCTCTGCTTTGTGCTTTTGTCTCAAGATGTGAGCTCTCACCTACTGCTCCAGTGTTATCTGCCTGCTGCTGTGCCCCTGCCAAGATGATCATGAACTCTAATTTCTGGAACTATGAGCCCCAAAGGAAACACTTTCACTTATAAGCTGCCTTGGTCTCACCTTCCTCTTTCCGTGCTCCACAGTAGTGCAGCTGTCCTCCTCTACATGCACTGCTTTACCCGCTGTGCCTGACAGTGCTCATCCTCAGGGAGCAAAGGTGGGCATGGCATTGTGTTCCTCAGGAAAATCTTGACAAGGGCACGGCTAAAGCTTCTGCTGACTACTAAACAAACATCTCTAATGCATCAGCCAGGAGCACGGGCTCTTACCTCATCACTTGGGTCATAATACTGCTCCAGGTATGGGTGGGCCAGAGCCTGTTCAACTTCAATCCTCTTGTGAGGGTTAAAGGTCAACATTTTATCCAGTAAGTCCAAAGCTACAAAGAGAAAGGATTTTACAGTGGTGAGAAGCAGAGCTCATTAGCAAATGTTTTTCCATCTCCTACTAAGCTGATCCTCAAGACAGTGGGGTATCATTGTTAAATCTCTCTTTAAAAAAAATGTACATGAGTATTTTACATACATGCTGTGCATCATTTGAGGGCAGTGTACTACACAGAGGTCAGAAGAGGAAGTTGAATTCCCCCTGGAACTGGAGTTACAGATGACTGTGAGCAGCCATGTGGGTACAGAAGTTGAACCTGAGTTCTCTGGGAAGAGCAGCTGGTATTCTTAACTACTTAGGCATTTCTCCAGCCTTACTGTAAATCTTTTGTGACTATGTGAACATAAGGGCTGACCACGTAACAATTACAGATACCAATACTCAAATAAGAGGAATGGACAGCCAAAGGAGAAAAGTTAAGAGTAGGGTTCAAACCCAGGTTTGCTTACTAAACTTTGACATTTCCTATATTACTCAGCTTTGCAGATATCCAAAGTACAGAGCTGGGGATATGGTTGAGTAAAGTGCTTGCTCTATAACCACAGGCCTTGAGTTTGGATCTCCAGAACTTGCATAAAAAGGCCAGGCTCAAGAGTGGGATTACCAGTGCAAGGAGGCAGAGTCAAATAGACTCCAGAGGCTTGTTGGTCAGTCACTCTAGCTGAATTGGTTAGCTACAGGTCCAGTAAAGTGGAAAGTGGTTCAGTAAGATACCCAATAAAGGCCTCTGGCCTCCACAAACATATAATTGAGCAACATCACCCACACAGCCACGCGTACAGACATCCATATACTATACTTACATATCCAAATAAGGTAGAAAGTAACTGAAGACACCAGATGCTAACCTCAATGCAAACCCACAAAAAAAATGTGAGCATATGTATATGTGAGCGTGTACGCACACACGCGCGCGCACACACACGGTTAGGACAAAATGTTTCTCTTAGATTCACCCCAAAGCCATTTTTTTTGTTACTGATGTTCATGTGAGTATGGGGCAAGCATGTAATCATGGCCAACTTACCCGAAGAAAGCTGGCTCTCCCTTGGCAGCTGCCATCCAGGGGCTTTGAGAGGCCTAAACTATCTACTCTGGAATATTGATTAGACTGGTCTCATTTGTCTTAAAAGTAGCAACCATAGTTGAGAGTTTAAGAGTGTACCTGCCTATCATGTTCAAAAGACACTGTTTTGTAGCATTTTCCCACACCAGAGATCTGTGGTTACTCCTCAGCACAAATCATGGCTGCCTATGTTATGTGCATGTAATAGGAGTGGAGGGGCCCTAATTTTCATCTCAGCTGCCCTGCTAGCTTACACGCGAAATAATCACACAAAAATTGTATTCATTTAAACACTGCCTGGCTCATTATCTCTACCCTCTTATTGGCTAACTCTTACATATTAATTTAACCCATCTCCATTAATGTGTATCGCCACGTGACTGTGGCTTACTGGCAAGATTTTAACCAGCGTCCGTCTCAGGTAGGAGAATCATGGCGTCTGCCACTCTGCCCTTTTTCACAGCATTCAGTTCTTTCTTCTCCGCCTACTTAAGTTCTGCCCCATCAAAAGGTCAAGGCAGTTTCTTTGTTCAACCAATGAAAGTAACACATAAACCAGGTGGGAAAGAAACTTCTGTCTACAACTGCGATTAAAGGTGTGTGTCATTGCTGCCTGGTTTGTAAAGTTGGCCAGTGTAGCTGTTTTACTTTTCTGATCTCCAGGAAAGCTTTATTAAAATACAAATGCCACTATAGATTTCCATTCTTTTGCCCTGACCATCCTTATTCTAGCCACATCCTGGGCAAGCCAACTAGCTCTCCAGGTCAGTTTAAATTCTCATCTTGGATCAATACTGCAGCTTCAACTTCAACTTCGGGACAGGGTCAGAGAAAACCAACTAATTTTAAAAACTGCCATAATAACAGTGTTCCTCACACCCTTTGACCTCAGAACCCCTTTATAGTTGTTAAAATTTACTGAAGATATGTTTCTTTGAGAACTGATGCAAAAGAATCAAGTTCAAAGACAGCAAGACTGCCTCAAAATCACCACTACAGATCCATTTTTATAAGTGGCTAATTCAGATCACAGTTCCAGTAAGTAATACTCTTCTTCAAGAAAGTTGATGCATTCCAAATATAGCAGAAATGCTCTTAAATAGATGTCTTATTTCTTCACACAGAATAGCACAAAGACTTGTACTGAGTTTAGGAGTTAAAAAAGAGAGGACTTTTGCTGTTTTGTCGAAGTTTTCTTCTCTGCACCCAGCAACATTTTTAGTGTGAAGTTATGGTAGTGGAGGAGCCCAGGGATGGCACTAGTACCACATAGACTTGCCATCTTAGTGATGGCAATCATAACAATCAGTGCCTCATTGTCATGAAAGTATATGGTGATGTAAAGGAGTCTGCAATAATACTCTTAATAGTATATGAATGTAGTTCTAACCGCATGGAACCCTGGGGTGAGGGAGACACTGGGGTCGAAGCAACACACTATTCAGCTACACTACAAAACTCCAGATTTTCTACCCCATCAAATCCTTCAACAGCCTCCTCCTGCTGACTGTTCCCAGAAGTGATATCCCTGGATTTCTCCCTACTCAGTCAACCTTCCCCACTGAGCTCAAATCATGAGTCATGTCCCTCCAGTGGTCCAGTCATTTCTGTCTCCACTTTGTATTACAGATGTCTTACTGTTTCAATCACACCCTCTTCCCAGGCTTGGTGTAAGTGCAAGCATACATATCTACTGTGAATGTCTCCACAGGTATACAACCTTGGGTGTCAGCCCTTCCCTTCCACCTGTTTAAAAGACAGTCTTCTGTTTATTTCTGTAGCACCAGGTTAACTGACCTGCCAGTTTCTGAAGATTCTCTTGTCTCTACCTCCAAATTTCACTATAGCAAAGCTAGGCACTTATTTGTTACATATATGGACCAATCTCCATTGTTTTTAAAAAATGTTTTTCAAAGGCCATGGATTAAGCAACATTCAAAGCAGTCTTTAGTCTGAGGTGATTGAGTTCCAGAATAAATGTAACTCTGTGGCACTAACACCATGCTAGCTTATGATTCCAATTATGACTCACATACACAATATCAGAGTTTATAAGATTCCCAAATATTTGATGTGAACCAAACTGGATTTTTGTTTATTGACTGAGAGACAGGGTTCTTTCTGAAAGTAACCATTGCAGTGTACTCCCTTCCCATATTAATTACTGTTAGACTGCTTTAAATGCAGTCAGTTTAAATATGTCTGTTTAGACATAATCTCTGCATCTCCATAACTAATCAGTCTAATGTTTAAAACCTTAAACATACTTAAAATTTTTGTTTAAATGTGTGTGCAAGCTCATATGCAAGGATGCCAAGGTATATGTGAGTGTCAAGAGGAAAATGTGCATGAGTTATTTCTCTCCTACTATGTAGTCCAAGAGATCAAACTCAGGCTGTCAGACTTGACAGAAAAGTCATCTTGCTGGCTTTAAATTATTTTAAATGTTATGAGACCAAATTTACTTTTTGTAAATTTGCTTTCTTATTTTTTAAAAAAAATATTTATCTATTTATGTGTATAGATATTTTGCCTGCAAGTGTATCTGTGTACCAAGCGCTTGTTTGGTGCCCACAGAAGACAGTAGGTCTCAGATCCCCTGAACTGGAGTTACAACTCCATGTGGGTGCTGGGAATCAAACCTGGGTCCTATGGAAGAATAACAGTGCCCTTAACCACTGAATCATCTATATCCAGCCCTTCTTGGTTTGTGTTTAAAGCTTAGGAAAAGAGTACATGAAGAACTCAGAAAACCACGGAATACCCAATATTGTTCTCAACAGTATGATTTAAAAGGCTGTTTTAAGATTTGTTATTTTATGTGTATGAATGTTTTTCTTGCATCCACATATGTGTACCACATGTGTGCCTGGTATTCTCAGAGGTCAAAAGAGGCATTGGATCCCCCTGAACTGGAGTTGTGGGTGGTTGTGAGCTGCAATGTGTGCTGGGAACTGAACCCGGGTCTTCTGCAAAAGCAGCTAATGCTCTAACTGTTGAGCAACTTCTCCAAACTCACAGCACCATTTAAAACTGCATTTGATCACTGATACTTTAGGAACTCATTTTTATGTTTGAGCAATAATTTAAACCAAATGTATTCCAAATAAAGTTCCAACTACCTTGTACCATCTGCTGTAATAATTGTTTCTTCCCTCTCACTGAAATCACCTTGAAGAGAATTCTAAACTACGACTCCTTTGAAGAAGAAACTTGCAGCATTACTGGCTCAAAAGATTCAGCATTAAAAAACTTTCAAACCATGTAAAAAAAATTCCCACCCCAGGGTTTTTCTGTGTAAGCCTGGCTGTCCTAGAACTCACTCTGTAGACCAGGTTGGTGAGAGATCTGCCTGCCTCTGCCTCCTGAGTACTGGGATTAAAGGCATGAGCCACAACCACCAGACATTCAATTTCATTCTCAATTAAAACTCAAATTAAATACACACCCACTCTCAATGTTGGCAGAACCAAAAGATGAGTACCTAGAATTGTTAGAACAAAAGATCCAAGACAAAACTGCCCAACTTCCCTCCACAGAGACTCAACCCACATATATGCTGCTCTATTTCTCACAGCTTTAACCAGAAAATAAGTTCAACTCTCAATGTCTGCTATTTTGATAAGCTGGGTTTTTTTGTTATTTTTTTAAAGGGTAGGGAAAGGAGAGTACTCACTGATCGTTCAGTGTTCATATATTGTAAAGATGAGTACTTTCCCTTATATTTAATAACACTTTTTTCTATGAATTATTATTATACTTAAAACCTCTACTATTTCAGCTTGAAAATTGAAATCTCAGGTTTCCTGATATCATTAATTTATTTTCTTGTGTCATTTTTATACAAATCAGAACTATTAGCTTCCTGCAGGTATGTTCTTATTGTTGATTTTGTGTCTAGGGCTGCAGCAGCCAGAGTGATATAGAACAAATGAACAACTTCTCTGGGATTAAACATAACACAATTCTTTGCAGTTGCTTCTATCGACAGGAGGGCTGTTCTTCCTATCTTCTGTACCAGCTAACAGTATACTTTGATTTAATTTGAATTTAATTCACTAAGTGTGACAGATTGTGATTAGACCTAGTTTCTCAAAAGATCTTGCAGCTTCTGATGCCGTCTTCTGCGGTGTTCTTGTCACCAGAAGCCTAGTCTAGTCTACCATAGCGAGAGAAACAACCACAAGTAAAAGCACCAACAGCAAGGCTATCTTGGACCACTCTACGGGAGGGGGCCAGGAACCTCCCTGACTCCCTGAACCAGCCAAATCAACAAATACCTGGCTGTTATTCCCAAGTTTTGGAGTGGCTTGTTCAACAGTTAGAAACAATAAATGTAACTCATGTGAGCTTCAACGTCCATTATGAGACTGAAAAAGGATGCTTAAAGATATTTCCTACAAGAGAACACTATGCACATTTATAAAGCTACTGATATGTAAAGATCTTCAAAATACATAAACAAGAAAGTTTTAGCTGTGGGATCTTAGAATCCAGAGTTATAAACACTAGTATTATGAATTTTCATATAATCCTATAATATAAATACTACTACCAGTCATATTTTATAGATGAGATAGTAAGTAGTTTCAAGTTAGTGTCTGGGTTGTAGAAGCTGTGCTCCAGTTGCACACTATTCTTCTGCCCTTGGTGCTGTCAAGGCCCATTTCTCCACCTTCCATGCTTTAGAGTCACTTAACAGGTAAAATTTTCTAGGTTAACTTCCTGGGTTTTGCTGTTATTGTTAGACAGGGTTTCCCAGGCTTCCTTCAGACTTGTTATGTAGCTCAAACTGGTCTCAAAACTTATCCTCCTGCTTGAGCTTTCCATGTTCTGGTATTATAGTTGCATACTACACCACTCGTTTCATTTTCTGTTTTGTTCCTTTTTAAATTGTTGTTGCTGCTTTATTTTTGGAGACAGGGCTTCTCTGTGTAGCTCTAGCTGTCCTGGAACTCACTTTGGAGATTAGACTGGTACCAAACTCATATAGATCTGCCTGCCTCTGCCTCCTGAGTGCTGAGATTAAAGTGTGAGCCACCATCACCTACCTAATTTCCTGGGTTTTAATAGCATCAATTCTTATATGACTTTAAGTTAAGAAAATTAGCTGAAAGATTCAAGCAATTTGATAGAAACCAAAAGCATGTAGAGAAAGAGTAAGGGAACAAAGGGTGAGTCTGGGAACAGGCCAACTTATATCTTAATCACCAAATTTTCTTATGTAAGGGCCTATCTAAGAGAGCAACTCTGAAAATCCAATCTAAATGTAATGTGTTGGGGTTAGCAACCGGCCAAGCCTGACCACCTAAATTTAATCCTGGAACCCATATGGTGGAAGAAGAGTACCAATTCTTGCAGGTTATCTGTCCTCAACACATAAAAAAATAATGTTTTAAAAAAAGGTAATGTGTCATATGGGTTAAGTTCTAATTTTCAAAATTAACAAATAACAATATGATTCTACATATATGATTTTGTTATACCCACAGCAAAACACTAAAAGCTAGGAACTAGGCCAGATGGCCTATGAATGTAACCCCAGAAACTGAGAGTTGAGGAAAGAGGGTAACTTTTGAGTTCAAGATCAGCCTGGGCTATACAGGAAGATCCTGTCACAAACACGCTCTCCCCACAAAGTTATTTTGAGATTCTCACTATTCATTATCTACAATAACAAACTGTACTGTATCAGAGATGAAAACAGAGAGTTTCTCCTATAACCAAAGTAAATTATAAGCAAATATTTCTGAACCTTAACTTGGGCCCATCCATGTTGCTAGGCTTGGAAGACAGTACAATAGGTAGAATGTTTGAGGACCTGATTTCAACCCCAGAATGCACTAATGGCTGAGAGGATAAGGAGATCCTTGGGGCTTCCTAGCCAGCTTGAGACACTGTCAAAAAAACAGACAGTGCCTGAGAAATGATATCTGAGGTTGTCCTCCTCTTATAAGACTACCAGAGTGCGTGAACGCAAACTCACCCTACACCAGCCTCAGCTGTGTAAATGGGGAGGGAAAGAATAAAAACAAAATTTCAATAAATCCTAAACTCCTAGCACATGACTACTATAAAATCATTTAAGATAAGTCAGATCTACGGACTAACATGAAAGAACAGACACAATACTATGAACAATGACATTTAAGAAAACAATGTTAGGAAACAAATTTCACCTTTTAAAAATATTCCTGCAATTTAAAAACTATTACAAGAATTTATAAGAGTTTACAATTGTTTAAAAGCAGAAATTTTAGGTAAACTGTGTATGGATATTTTGGTCATAAGACACAAGATGAGCAGTGTTATGCCGGCGAGCTGTGATCTGCCTTCTCCTTGGCCTGTTCAGATCCTCTCTTCTACATTGTTCAATTACATCAACCAATTGTGTGTGTGTGTGTGTGTGTGTTAGAGAGAGAGAGAGAGAGAGAGAGAGAGAGAGAGAGAGAGAGAGCGCCGCGCGCACTCTAGTAGTTCTAATAATGGCAACGCCCCTTGGTGAAGAGACTGATATTAAAAACTATCAGGTTCTTTACAAGAGTGGTCCACAATCTTACCCAAGGAAACATCTTTCTGGTCCACCACTTTCTAAATAAAGAATTCTAAGTAGTTAAAAAAGTTAATTTGCTGCGATTTCAGGCTGGAACCTAATAAACAAACCTAAAGCTAAGCTTAAGAAAAAAATTATAACAATGAGGACACTAAGAAAGACTTACATAGATCTAATCTACATGGGAAGTAGAAAAAGACAAGATCTCCTAAGTAAATTTGGAGCATGGGGACTTTGGGGGATGGCTAAGCAGGGAGGAGAGAGGCAGGGAGGGGAACACAGAAAAATGTAGAGCTCAATAAAAATCAATTTAAAAAAAGGGATTGAAAAATAAAATAAAAGAACTTCCTGAGATAACACAATCTCTTATTTCAAGCTCTAAATGGGATCAAATCAAAGACCCAGACTTAAATCCACACACCTATGGACATCTGATTTTTGACAAAGAAGTCAGAATTATACACTGAAAAAACAAAACCTCTTCAACAAATGGTGCTGACCAAACTAGATATCTGCATATAGGAGAATGTAAACAAAAAAAAAATTAGAGATAAAGTAAGATTTACCTTTGGAGTCAGCATTTGGGAACAGCCTGTTCCACGGCACCTTATTTTTGTGCGGGAGAGAAAGCAAGTAGTTTCTAGCTTTTAAATTTATAATACAATTCAGATCTTCCTGTGATGGAGATCCAAGAATACCTATCAGACAGAATATTAGCTGTTAATTGTCAAGATAAGAACAAATTACTACATATACCAGCTCCAGCACAGAAGGGGCTCTGCATTTAACGTCTTCTTACCACGCCCAGTAATCACCCTGCATTACAAGTTTTCACAAAAAGATCTTTAATATTTTTAAATTAGGGAAGATTAAAACAAAAACAAATCATCACCATCAACAACAACAAAAAATCCAACATCTATAGTGAGTCTCATGTTACCATGCTCAAGAACTTACCCAGGATGTGATTCAGCTGGTCAAGGTAATGCTTTCCTGGGAAGATAGGCCTATTGGAGAGCATCTCTGCCAGGATGCAACCCACAGACCAAATATCAATGGACTTGGTATAACCCTGTAACAGAAAAGGAGAGAAGACAGAGTAATAGAATGTGGTGTCCATAAAAACACAATGAGATCCTCTTATCTGATAATCATGTGGTAGACCAGAGTCTGAATATCTTCTTTGAGACTCCCATTTCAAAACACACAGACACAGAACAAAACCCAGTAATTTGGCTTTCAGAAATGCTGCTGGAGTGTGGTAGTGTATGCCATTGAACTCAGCACCTGGGAGGCAGAGGCAGGAGGATCTCTGTGAGTTCGAGGCCAGTCTGGTCTACAGAGTGAGCTCCAGGACAGTCAGGACTACACAGAGAAATACTTAAAAAGTAAAAGCAAAAACCACCTCCAACGAAATTGGGGTGGGGCAGTAACACTCAGTTTATGTCACTTAACTCATCTTTATGAAGTTACAAATAAACTTATAGGGACACTGCTATATTCTTAGAATAATTTTATCCACTTTATAAAGAATAAAAATATTAATATCAATCAGGCTGAAAAAGCTCCACCTGTAGTGGTGGTGTTGGCACCAACATTCTCACCTTCTCTACTGTTTCTTAGGTATAAATTTTCTTTTATTAAAGCTGTTAAAAATCATGTAATTGCTTTATTTTATTGTTAACAATAGTGCAAGATGCTTCTATAAGGAAAACAAGTTGAATTTCATAGAAAATGTTAGGTACAGAAATAAGTGGAAAGAGAAATATACACAACAAAGAGGGAAAAGGAGTCAACCAGTAAAACTGAAGAGTGAGTTAATTCGGGAAACTAGAGAAGCAGGGACTGGATCCCTGAAGTAACAATACAACAGGTAGAATTCTAAGTAATTCTTTCTGAAACTCCTGTAATTTAAAATACCTACTGCTCTGGGCCAAAGCTAAATAAAGGGAACAATGAAAACCCTAAACAATAACACATACAAATTAAGAGGAATCTGGGTTCCTGAGAGAAATGGCTGTTCTAGATCTGGGGCAGGGAGTGTATAGAAGACAGTCTAGTCTGGTGCAGCTGATGCCAGAGAACAGCAGGAAACTGTCCAGGGGTGCTGGGAAGAGGTGTACATCCCAGACAGAATAGATAACTCAAGAGAGTAAATAATAAAGAACACCAAAACACAAAAGGGAAGACAGTTATGTTACCACCAAAGGAGAATAAGAAAAGCATTTGAGAGTTTGATAAAAAGAAAATCTCACAACTCTTTTCCCTCCAATTACTATAAACTGCAGTGTTCTAGAAATGACCCAGAAACTGCTCATGAGCATCACCTGTCATCAGTACAAATAGCTTCGTCTTCTAATATACTGAAGTTAACATAGTTTCTGTGCATACACATTAAACACATGCCATAGAAGTCAAGTCCTGAGATGACGCCACATGTTTCACCAATAGCATGGGTTAGAGCAGGTATTTGCTGTGCGAAGATGATAATTCAGCCTAAGAATCTAATGCCTTCTGGCATCTTTGGGCACTACACATGTGCACTCACAGACACATAACAACAAAACCAAAAAACCTACCAGAAAAAAACCAACACACCCAAATGGAAGGAATTTCAACACCCTAAACAGCCCTCAAGTTTGCCTACTGCCTTATAATTCTAACAAAAAATGCATACATACTTCATTTTTTTCCAGTCACGTTTGTTTGTTATTTGTGACAAGGTCTTAATAGCCCAGGCTGGCCTTAAACTTGTGGCAATTCTACCTTTGCTCCTGAGAGCTGGGATTATGTCTGCCGCTTCTCCTTGCTCCACCTGCCCCATTCCTCCCTTTCCTGGTTTTCTGAGATCTCTCTGTAGCCTAGGCTATCCTTAAACTTGCTTTGCTGAATCACAGAGATCTGCCTACCCTGCCTCCTAAATGACAGAAACAAAGGTATGTGCTACCACATATTACCATGGTCCAGATTGCTGGGTTTTTGTTTTATTTCTTGAGACAGGGTTTCTCTGTGTAGCCCTGGCTATCCTGGAACTTGCTCTGGAGACCATGCTGAACTTGAGACCTTGAACTCAGAGGTTTGCCTGCTTCTGCCTCCTGAGTGATTAAAGGTGTGTGCCATTATCACTTGACTTCCAAGACCCAGGTTTTGTTAGCAGAGTTTGGATGACCTGGATCTACTCTTCACAGCAACTCAGTGAAGAGGAGGAAGGGCTTCATTCTGAAACACAACTATCTACCCTGTAATTTCTAGAGTCCACAGTGGTTCCTATTCTTTCCACACCCAGTGATTTTGCTGAAGAGAAATTCTTCATTATCAGGCAAACTGAAGTTTGTAGAACAAACAGCTCTGGGACATGCAGAAACATAAATTACTAGAAACTGTAACAACATAAAAGCAGGTGTGGAAGTAGCTATAGGTAATGCCTCAGTACTGCAGATAAGGGAGGGCACAGACATTTATAGTTACCATGAATGAAGATGGTAAACCTAAGGCCCAAACGTTAATTCTGAGAAAGACTAAGACAGCATTTTGACTGTGGCCAGATATACCAGACTGAAGGATGAAGACCAAGGTTTATAGCTACTGTTTTTTTCTTACCTTGGAATTCAACATAATTTCTGGAGCTCTGTACCAACGTGTGGCTACATACTCTGTCAAGAACCCTGTGTGATCATGATCCGGATCTGCAACACGGGCAAGGCCAAAGTCACAGATCTAAGGGAGATAAAAGTGGGATACCTTTTTAGAGATACCAAAGAGCTAATATCAAAACACTACAAAAATAAAAAGACAAGAGCAATAACATGAATAACAAGTGTATGCTACCAATACTATGTTAGACACCTTTCTGGAAACTACAAACTCATTATTCTGAAGTGATGACAAGACACATGCTAGAGGTGAGGAAACAGGCTAAATGATAATTTAATAGGACATAATCTGACAACCATGTTTGGATTTCATCACTGTCAGCTACTGTGAGTGCACAGCACTCTCACTTAGGTGATCTGAGAAAAGCCACCTTAGGGGGACTGGAGAGATGTGCTTTTCGATAACGAAAAAACCAGATTACTCTTGCAGAGAACCCGACTGGTCATCAATATCCACACTAAGTGTCTCACAGTTGCCTATAAATTACAAGGGATCTGATCTGAGACTTTCTTCTGGCCTCCTTGGGCACCCGCATATTACAATGTATAGACATAAAATCATCAAACCCACCTAGAGTCCCGTTCCTCTCCATGCCACTGTAGCTTACAGAATCACTGATGGTTTGCTCATTAAGCTGTCTGCCCTGTCCTATTTCTCAAACTCCTCTATTTCTAGCCTAAAAATAAAAATATTTTTTTTGTTTTCAAAAATTCTTCTCACTTCCTTACTTTTCAAAACATAGCCAATCCTGACAGTTTTACAGCTTTCATGTACTTAAGAGAAATCATTTGTTCTGATGTTCATTTATGTACTGTATGCGTGTGTCATAGGTGGTGGTCAGGGGATGACTTTCACAAGCTGATTCACTCCTATCATGTGAGTCCAGATGTAAACACAGGTCATCTGGCTTTATCACCGGGCCTTTCTGTTGTTCACCACTGCTCTGTACGGCACCCAGCTTCTCACATGCTGACTCCCAGGAGCACCTCCCAAAGGCTCTCGTCATCTAGCTGTCTTAACACTGTGATGCTACTTAGGTGGGCTTTCTTACAGACCCCAGAGCATATAAAATACAAGCATACTCTACTTAAGTCAATAAAAATAAAAAGATTTTAATTCTCTGGTCCCCAGGAAGCTAATGCAAGAAAGAGACAAGTTAACAGATGGAACACAGTACAGTACAAGACTATTTGGAAAACAGATTAATTTGGAGGCTTCATTGTATTAAGTCAGCTAAAAAACAAGGGCTGGCACTTAAATTCAACAGTAAAAGACTGGTTAATGATAACAAATACCTTGTAAAACCCCCACAAGAAAAGGTGAATGTTCTGTGGACCATGACATTTTTAAATTATTCCTTTTCAAAACGGGTACTTTTTAATAAAAACAATTTGACCAAAATTTTGCCAGAAAATTTTGAGACCCAAGAAAATGAGTTTAACGAGAGAGAGTTAGAGAGAGAACAAGAAAATCCAAGGGCTTGAACTTTGGCTATAAAAGTAGGACAACAAAGGAAGAGCAAGTCTAAAAGATACGGGACATAGTTATTTGGACCTCCATCTCTGTTTAGATAGCCTAGAGAGTGTATCAGTAATTGAGAAAGACAAGCAAAGAGCCCTTACTCACTGCACAAATATCTTCCTCTAGATCACTGTGTAGGCCTTTGTTCTCAAAGAGCCTCTTGTTTACTTCAAGTACAACATCCAAGAAGCAGCACATTTATTTTGCAGAATGTTATCAAAAGAAGTAGACAGTGCATCCTCTTTGCTAACTCTCCTGCAGGCTACTTTCCATGTGAGTTCTCATGAAGAGCAGAGAGTGAGGAACTCCTGTGGGAATTGGGAATTCCACAGGGAATTGCCCACTCCAGTCTCTCTACTTGGCATACAAAACCTCCTGTGCCTGAGCCTCCTTTAAAAGAAGATTTGCTTGCCAACGAGGTTATATCCCTGATGGAAACTGGGCCCCACACAGGCTATCAAAATACTCTACCAATGAGTTACATTTCTAATCCAGCTGTTATTTTTACTATTATGTGTCTGTATGAAGACGTGTCTGTGCTATGGTGTGTATATAGAGGTCAGAAGATAACTTTTAGGAGTTGATTATCTCCTTTCACTGTTCAATACAGGGATCAAATTCAGGCTGTCAGGCTTGAGCAGCGTTTTTATTCACCTGAGCCATTTCACAAGCCCCCAGCTATCACTTTTGAGGAAGAATAAAATTAAGTTCTAAATTCTGTCTGATTGATCTTGAGGCTTTCATTGTTTCCATTCTATGTGTTTCCTTAAGAGTCTTTACTACCACTAGGTGTAGCAGAACATGAGTCCTAGCATTCAGGAGGCTCTGTGAGTTCAAGTCAGCACCATTTACATAGTGAGTTCCAGGACAGCCAGAAAAACACAATGAGATCCAGTCTCAAAAAAAGGTCCTATCAACCAAATCCTTTAGAGTTAGTAGCATGAGGGGTTTCCAGCACGAGGCACTGTAGTAGTTAAGACTCAAACGAAAAAAAGCAATGAATAAACAAAATTTTCCATGTCTTAGCCACTACCACTTCCTATGGTAGACTACTACCAATCATTCATTTCTAAGTGATTTAAACTTTTCAACATGTGTGACTCACAGCGTTTCTCTTTTGCAGAGCTAATGCTTCATTTTATGATTCACCTTCAAGCAAAGCTCACCATTCAGAGATCTGCCTGCCTCTGCCTCTTGAGTGACGTGATTAAAGGTGTGCAACAAAGTTTTCCTAATATCACACTACTGAACCAAATCAGCAAAGTAATAAAGTAACAACAAAATCAAAACAAATATATCACAGCTACAGATAAAGCACTAGTAATACCCAGAATAAAGAAGCCAGACAACTAGTGCAGCCCAAGAAGCACAAAAGGCCCTATAAATTTCAGCATTCCCACCTGACCACCTTTTGAACTATGTAAATGTTCATTAAAACATGTTTCATTTTGTATTTTTCTTTACAAGTCTAACTGCAATCAAACAGGCTATAGTAATGCTTACTGATAACTCTGTGAGTTCTGTTTTGCAAACAATGACCACACCTCCCATTTTTTGCCCCACAGAAAATATGCCAACAGAAGCTGTAAATAGTGTTTAAAACCCTTATGTGTTTCTGTGGACCTGAGAAACAAAGAATCATCATGAAGTTCCACAATGTGGTACTACTTGACGTACTCTAGAGCTTGAGTAGGCGACTCTCCTCTCCACTAGTGTTAGCTCACATGTCATATAAATATACTACCGGGCACCATAGCCTATTCTGCATGCATATGCTTGCTGTGGCAAATAAGAATCTCAGTGGAAAAACTACACTCATTTTAGGAATGAAATGCTCTCCGTATGAATGATATACTCCAAAACACACCTTAAAAATATGAGTGAAGCTAGCTAGCTATGGTGGAGCATGCCAATAATAAAAAGCTGAAGATAATGAGGCAGGAGAACGGAGAGTTTGGGATCGGGCCCAACTATACCTTCCTGGGTGTGGTGGTATAAATCTATTATCTTAGCCTGAACTACACAGTGAGGCCATGTCTCAAAGTAACAATAAAAAGCAAACTTTAGATAAAGGTTGTCCATACCTCATTTTCAGTAAATCTCTGTTGCTTATTAGTGACTGCCCAATACCCAGTGCTGTCCCAAACAGAAAAGGATGTAGTAATTTTCTTAACTCATCCATTGCTTTTGACTTTTATTCTTCTGTCTTCCTGCTTATGACACTCTATGTCCAACAGAGCCCCTCAATAATAAAAGCCTGTTCATTCTTGGAGGGCTAACATGGACATTATCGTCTTCCTTTGTATATGAATATTATTTTCTATGGCCAGATGCAGCATATGCTATTAATTATATACCGTCTGCTGGGTTTCTACCTCTCAGTTTTCCACTTTCAGGGGTAGACATTCAGCCTCTTGGCTTGGCATATCTAACAAAGCTTTACATAGGAATATTAACTGAAAACTCAAGAAATCATTCCTACACATCTACATATATTTTTAAAGTTTCTTTACTGGGATATTCTACACATAGTTAAAATATACTATATTACAGTTTTTAATATTACAGCTACAGAGTTATGCAACCTTAAACAATTAATATTTATTTACTTATTTATTATGTATACAATATTCTGTCTGTGTGTATGTCTGCAGGCCAGAAGAGGGCACCAGATGTCATTACAGATGGTTATGAGCCACCATGTGGTTGCCAGGAATTGAACTCAGGACCTTTGGGAGAGCAGGCAATGCTCTTAACCACTGAGCCATCTCTCCAGCCCCACCTTAAACAATTAACAACATAAAAAAAACTTTAATGAATTAGTACTGTCTCCCCTAATGCTCTCAACTATAAACTCTATATAGATCTACCACATTTTATCCACAATTAGCTGGACATTCGGATGGTTTACATTTCTCAGTGACAATGATTATACTACCACGAATACCTATGCACAAGTTTTTGTGTGGACACATTATTTTCATTTTACTAAGGTACATACTTAAAAAAAAAACTTTTTGTGACACGAGATGCCCTCCTGTATGCTGTAAATATGTTGCTTTTAGAGATTGATGAATAAAGCTGCTTTGGTCTATGGCAAGGCAGAATATAGCTAGGTGGGAAAATCAAACTGAATACAGGGAAAAAAAAAAGGCTGAGTAGAGGGAGACACCAGCAGCTGCTGGAGAAACAAGATGTGAAGTAGTAAGTCACAAGTCTCATGATAAAATATAAACTAATAGATGGGTTAATTTAAATTGTAAAAGCTAGTTATTAATAAGCCTGAGCGAACAGGCCAAACAGTATGTGATGAATACTACACCACTGAGTGGTTATTTTAAAACTGGCTGTGGTACCAGGTGGGACAAGAAATCTCCAGTTACATCGTTGTCAGTGTTCGCTATCTTATCTTTCTTCTTCTTTCCTTGCCAGACTGGAACATGCCATATACACCAGGCTGACCTTAAACTTCCAAAGATCTGCTAGCCTCTGTCTCCTAGTGCTGGAATTTGAGGCATATGTGACCATTCCTGACATTACTGAACACTTATTATTGAATAAGATTATATTCATCTTAGCGATAAGCTGTATAATACCATGAACCTTGCTTTATTTCTTGATACAAAGGATTAAAAAACAAAAACAATGCAATGACACTACATATATAAAATATGTAAGCACACACACCCACATAAGAGCTACTCTAACTTGCTACAGTGGCTACTATCTCTGGAAAGGAAAGTGGGGTAAAGAAGGAACAAGATTGATACTGTGTACTTGTGTTTTTGCTATATAATATTGTGTTTCTGGTAGTTTTGAATATAAGTAACAATAGCTCAAACACAAGTTGTTTTTAAAAAGTATGTGTCATTCTTAACAGTAAATGACTTAGCTGACCTTGAGATCACAAGTGGTGTTCAACAGGAGATTGGAAGGCTTGAGGTCACGATGCAGAACGTTAGCTGAATGGATATATTTCAGTCCTCTCAGGATCTGATAAAGAAAATAGCAGATATGGTCATTGCTGAGGTGTTGCGTCTTCAAGAGCTTGTAGAGATCCGTCTCCATGAGGTCCTGTACTATATATCTGTTTGAAAGGTTAAGGTAAAACATCCAACAGTTGATCATACTTAGCAAAGCATCAACTTCTCTTAATCCTTTTCCCATACAGCTTCTGATATAGCAAGGTCATCAATAGAAAGGAGAAACTGAAGAGAACATGGGTACACTCTCATGGAAGAGAATAATGTACATCATCTCTGCCCTATGTGGACCTAAACTGAAACTTGAAACAGAATATTGGCCAATCATGAAGTCTCAACTTCCCTGCTTTCCAAAACCGTACACTATCAGCCAACTGCCTCCAAAGTTTAAGGAGTGTGGCGGTCAACAAACATCAACATTCATCTCTTTGGCCCAGAAGCAATGTGCAATGACACTTGTTTTTTTTTACTTCCTGTACCAGTATCTTCACAGACCTAGAAATGACACTGCCTCTAAGTCCAAGTCCAATCTCTGCCTTTCTTCCTTATTGATTACTGTTAAATTCTGATACATATATAAGACTAAGGGAAGCAGTGTGAAAAAGGGGTTGATGATGGATTTTTCTCTTCTTTCTTTGCTGCATAACTACTACTTAAGCATCCAAAATTTCAGCTAAGACATATCATTTCTTGTAAAAATTATACTGCAATGTGCAGTGGTGTCACCCAGCTCTTGGTGGAGAAAGAGGCAGGTGAATCTCTAAGTTCAAAGCCAGCATGGTCTACAGAGCTCCAGGACAGAAGAGGCTACACAGAGAAACAGTCTTGAAAATTCCAAAACCCAAACCAAACAAAACTTGTCATCTACAAGAAGCTCTATGACAAAAGGCAAACCAAGACTAACAAGTGGTGGCAGCAGGAGGCATTTCACTTAAAATACCACACAGAACTGTTTAAAAGTGGAAAAATCTGCCTGGAGACATGGAGCTGCCATTCCCTGATGGGATCTTCTAGAGCAGTCTTGATGTCCAATGCAATGTAATGAACGTAATATAATGCAATTACGTGTGTCAGAGCTGATGGGGGCTTAAAAGACCGGGAGGACCAGTTTACCCATCTTAAAGACAGGAAGTTGAGGCTGAAAGAGGAGCACACTAGGACTGTCTGGAAGGCACTGATCCAGAAGGTGTACCCACTTCCTCATGTGAATGCTTGCTCGTTTCCCTTTTCACTATCATAACAAGCACAACAGGGCTGGAAATGACAATAACTAAGATTTTCCAAAATTAAAATTAAAGAAAATTGTTATAGACTAACACAGAAAACACTGAACTTACCTAAAACATAACTAAAATTAGTTACCAAAAACCAATAAAATGGAGAAAAGAGTAAAAGGCTTTAAACATTAAAGTAAGTGCAAACAGATTACAATCTCCTCTCAGCATGCTATATGTGTACGGGTAGAGTGATTGAAAGAATGCTTTGAATGTACTCTTCCTTGATTCTCAGTTATTTACTCCAAAAGTGATCAAGCAGCAGCAGCGGTGGCTAATGTTAGAAAAGGATACACATCTTTCATTTGCTCAATGGTTGGTGCTCGGATGATGTCATTGATGCCGATGATATTCTCGTGCCTGAAGCGCAGTAAGATTTTTATCTCTCTTAGGGTTCTCTGGCAGTACGTCTGGTGCTCAAAAGGACTGATTTTCTTGATAGCAACTCGAACTTTGTTGAGATTATCATAGGCAGAGCTAAAAATAAAAATTTAAAAAGGTGCTATGAGTGAGAAGACAGTATTAAAAACAGCTCACAGAATTTTTTGGCGGAAGGAATACAAACTTGTAAAGTATTTAAGTTTTAACATCTGTACTGATACTTAAGAGAAAGAAGGTAAAGCAGGCAGGCAGCAGATGCTGACTGATACCTAATAGTTTCAGGGCCCTGCTCACAAGATGAATGCGTTTACAGGACACAAAACAAGACCCACAAAAACAAACAAATAAAAACAACAAAAACAATATTTTCCCATTGTCTTAAATAGCAGATGCATTTTGGTTAGAATAACATTTCTGCCTCCAAAACAATAATTGTACTGAATTCCCTGACTCAGCAGAAACATCACATAAAATCAACCAACAAGTTTGCCACTAAAAACTAGATTTGGAAAGTCTTTGATCAACCTCAACCTCCTACTTTTTTTTCTTTTAAAAAGATTTGTTTATTTTTATTTTGTATATATGGATGCTTGTCTTCTTTATCAACTTCAACCTTCTATTTTTTCTTAAAAATTTTTTTTGCTTATTTTTATTGTGTGTATATGGATGCTTGTCTCCATATGTGACTGTGCACATACATACAGTACCTGAGGAGGCTAGAAAGGGCAGTAAACCTTTTAGAAATGGAGTTACAGACAGTTGTGAGCTGCCATCTGGCTAATGGGAACGCAACCTGGAAGTTCTGCAAGAACAGCAAGTGCTCTTAACCACCAAGGGATCTCTCTAGCCCAATTATCAACTTACATGAACAAAACAGAACTATTTTTGTTGTTATTGCTTTCAAGAAACTGAATCATAATACTGGAGTAATTCTGTAACAAAACCTACAAAGTAATTTTCTAAAAAATACTTTCATGGATTCAACGCAATGCCCATCAAAATCCTTCAAAAACCTCGAAAGAACCTTCATATGAAAAAGCAAAAAGCCCAGGATAGCCAAAACAATCCTGTACAACAAAAGAACTTCTGGAGGCATCATAATCCCTGACTTCAAACTCTACTACAGAGCTACAGTACTGAAAATAGCCTGGTACTGGCATAAGAACAGACAGGAAAACCAATGGAACCGAATAGAAGATCCGGATATCAATCCACACATCTTCAAACACCTGATCTTTGATAAAGAAGCAAAAAATATCAAACGGAAAAAAGAAAGCATATTTAACAAGTAGTGCTGGCATAACTGGGTATCAACATGTAGAAGAATGAAAATAGACCCATATCTATCACCATGCACAAAACTCAAGTCCAAATGGATCAAAGATCTCAACATAAAGTCAGCCACACTGAACCTCATTGAAGAGAAAGTGGGAAGAACACTTGAACGCATTGGCACAGGGAACCACTTCCTAAATAGAACCTCAGCAGCACAGACACTGAGAGAAACAATTAATGGGACATCCTGAAACGGAAAAGCTTCTGTAAAGCAAAGGACACGGTCAACAAGACAAAACGACAGCCTACAGAATGGGAAAAGATCTTCACTAACCCCACATCAGACAGAGGTCTGATCTCCAAAATATACAAAGAAATCAACAAATTGGACACCAATAGATCACGTAATCCAATAAAAAAATGGAGTACAGACCTAGACAGAGAACTCTCAACAGAGGAATCTAAAATGGCTGAAAGACACTTAAGGAAATATTCAACATCCTTAGTCGTCAGAGAAATGCAAATCAAAACAACTCTGAAATTCCATCTTTCACCTGTAAGAATGGAAAAGAGTCCTTTTCTCTTCCGGTCGCAGGCACTTCGGGAGCCACCTGTTACCCAGCTCAGGGTGACAGGTGGCCCAATCTGAGGAGCCCCAGCCCTGATCTTACATCTCTACTTCAGGTCCAGCCATGGCCAAGTCCAAGAACCAAACCACACACAACCAGTCCCGGAAATGGCACAGAAATGGCATCAAGAAACCCTGGTCACAAAGATACCAATCTCTCAAGGGGGTCGACCCCAAGTTCCTGAGGAACATGCACTTTGTCAAGAAGCACAACAAGAAAGGCCTGAAGAAGATGCAGGCAAATAACGCAAAGGCCATGAGGCCTCTGGTGAAGTCCCAGGAGGTAAAGCCCCAGGTGCCAAAGGGCCCCAGCCGCAAACTCACCTGGCTCCCGTTCACTGCTCACCCCAGGCTTGGGAAGCGGATTAGAAGCTACATGGCCAGGGGTTGTGGGCTCCAAAAAACAAAACCCAAGGTTCAAGCCAAGGCAGAGGCCTCAGCTGCAGCTCAGGCTCCCAAAGGTGCCCAGGCCCCTGTGAAGGCCCCATAAAAAAGGTCTCAGTCTGCCAATGTGAAGACAGATGGACTGGTGTGAATATCTATACAGTATTTGCAGATGATCAGGACCTTATGCTGTTTTTACACATAAACTTGAGGCAAGATCTGTTAAAAAAAAAAAAAAACAAAACAACAACAAAAAAACCCACTCCTGCACTGCTGGTGGGAATGCAAGCTGGTACAACCCCTTTGGATGTCAGTGTGGTGATTTCTCAGAAAGTTAGGAAACAACCTTCCTCAAGACCCAGTAATACCACTTTTGGGTATATATCCAAAGGATGCTCAATCGTGCCACAAGGACACGTGCTCAACTATGTTCATAGCAGCTTTGTTTGTCATAGCCAGAACCTGCAAACAACCTAAATGCCCCTCGATCAAAGAATAACAAAAATGTAGTACATTTACATAATGGAGTACTACACAGCAGAAAAAAAATGACAGCTTGAATTTTGCAGGAAAATAGATGGAGCTAAAAAACATTATTTTGAGTGAGGTAACTCAGACACAGAAAGACAATTATCACATGTACTTACTCATAGGTGAGTTTTAAACATAAAGCAAAGAAAACCAGCCTACAAATCACAATCCAGAGAACCTAGACAATAATGAGGACTTTTAAGTAAGATATACATGGATCTAATCTACATGAGAAGTAGAAAAAGACAAGATCTCCTGAGTAAATTGGGAGCATGGGGACCTTGAGGGAAGATTGAAGGAGGGAGAGGAGAGGCAGGGAGGGGAGCAGAGAAAAATGTAGAGCTCAATAAATATCAATAAAAAAATGTAAAACAAAAAAACAAAACAAAAATACTTTCACAGCCATGATAGGACTTTAGTTTCTCCCAAGCTATCTTAAAGACACAACTAATAATTCTGAACAGAAGCAATAAATATTTCACTTTCAATTTCAGGATGGTTCAAATTTTTCAATATTATTACTATCTTTTTTTTGGGGGGGGCAGTCATTTACTTAAATATTTTCCACAAAGGCATTTTATATTAATAAATGTCAACATCTGGCCATTGACTATGGCAATGAAAATTTTGGCAAGAAATATTTTGTTTCCTCATTAGGTACTAGAACCATGACACAGTAAAACAGTTTATTGTTCTAAAGTTCATGCTTCTAAAATGGTTATTTTTATTGATACCTCTGTTGAGTCCATCCGAAGATGATGCTTTAGGAGTAACCTTGGTGGTGGTTGCAATCATCTCACGATGTCATTAACATGCTGTATTGCCCCCAAATACTTTGAAATGAAATACAATTCTTAAACAGAATTAAGTATTTAAATGTTATTTTCCTTGGTTTGTACAGTGGGGCCCAAAGCAGTGGTTTTCAGGGAGGCAGGCAAAAGGATGTACAGGTTGGGCAAGTGTATCTATACTCGGGCCTACTTTAGGTTGTTGTTGGTGGTACACTCCTTACTGGGGAGGCATAGGCAGGTGATCTCTTTGAGTTCAAGGCCATCCTGGTCTATAGAGTTCCAGGACAACATAGAGAAACTCTGTTTCAAAAACAAATAAAAAGAAATAAATACTCTCTTTGGTAATCATAACAAAGAAAAAACACCATTAAAACAGTTAACAAATGTTTGGGATTGTCAACTCAGTGCCAGAAAGATGCCTGGTAGCATCATAAAGCTGCGATAATTGATCCTTCATCACAGCAAATATTAAATTAAAAAAAAAGGTTGTAAAATACTGGTCAAAAACTTAACATTACAAATTCTTAGTTTTCACTGAACATCATAGTCAAATCTGGTCTGTTTTACAGAATTATATTCTAGAAGGACTGGCTTTTATTTTGTTTGTTCACTTATTTATTTATATTTACTAATTTATTTAGTCTAGTTTGTTTTGAGGCAGGGTTTCTCTGTGTAGCCCTGACTGTTTTGGAACTTGCTCTGTAGACCACAAACTCTGCTTCCTGAGTACTGGGATTAAAGGCATGTGCAATCACTGCTGAGCTATTTATTTACTTTTAAAGCAGGGTCTTTCTAGCCCTGGCTGTTCTAGAACTCAGATCTGCCTGCTCCTGCCTACCTGACTGTTGGGATCAAAGGTGTGGCCAGCACAATGGATTTGTCCAATGGGGCTGTTTAGGCTGTTTAGGAGTCAAGCATCAGTGTGGCTTTCTACTAGATCACCTGTCTTGGTGGTGAAATAAACAAAATGATTTTTTTGTTTGAAGGTTTGACACCATTCTCTTCCAGCTTCACCTGAAAGGAAGCCATGATCCTGTTCATATAGTGTGGCCTGTTCTTGTCTGCAGAGACATACATGCAGGCAAAAGGCTCATTTACTTAAAATTTTTAAAAGAAAGGGGAAGGTGAGATACAGTATCTATCCTGATGGCACATGCCTATAATCGCAGTACTAAGGAGGCAGAGGCAGGTGGATCTCTGAGTTCAAGGCCAGCCTGGTTTATATAGGAAGTTCCAGACCAGTCAGAGTCATGACCCTCCCTGGGTCAGTGGGTAAGAATTCATACTGTGGATCCACCAGGCCCAAGTTCAGTACACAGCATCACTTCTGGATTGGATTTGAAGTATGCCCTACAGGAGAGCTGTGTCTGGTACTAAAAGTCCACGGCCAGGGAAGCCATAGGTCCTTGAGAAGAATCTACTAATGTTGTTTTGCTAACTGGACATGCTGTCAAATTGCCCTCTAAATATATCTATACCCGTAAGTTTTTTTTATTTTTATTTTTAAAAAGGGCCTGGAACTGGAGCTACAGACAACTGTGAGCTGTCATGTGGGTGTTGGGAATTGAAATAGGGTCCTCTAGAAGAACAACTAATGCTCTTAGCCCTTGAGCCGTCTCTCCAGCCTCTAAACCCTTTAATTTCAATGCTTTCTCAATCTTGGTCAGAGAAACTTTCTGCAGTGGGCAGCAGTCAATGCAGAGACCTGAAAATGGTCAAAGTGCTAGGATCAAGTGACTGCTGAATGTTCAGTCCTAAACTGCACATCTGTATCATGTCCCCATACCCCAGTCTCAGGAAATTACATGGGAGATGGGGGAAAGAATGTAAAAGTTGGAGGATGGGGAGAAATGTTGTGAAATTCTGCATATGATCACACCAGCATGAATAAGAGAAGGGCTCATGATATCCAATAATAGCTGAGGAGTAACTGGCAAGTGATGGTTGCTGGGGAAGAAGAATTTTTCTTTGGAGGCACAGCTACTGATGGGTTGTCTATCTTCTGGTAGATGGTCCCATGTCCATGTAGGTACAATAATTGAACTCAAAGGTTCTAAGAAAAATAAGAGGATAGGAATGTGGGAGGACTTTGGTGGAAGTGGGAAGAAAGATATGGGCTAGACATCACCCAGACATATTGCATATATGCACAAAATTATCAAGAATAAATAAAAGAATTTAAATGTGGGGGACAGGACTTTGGATTTATTTATGGTCTATTCCAGGGCTGAGATGAGTTGGAACAGGTTTCAGAAGCTGTTCTGGATACGATAGACACAAAGGTCATAAAATTCTGGATATTATTTAACAGATGCTTTGTGAACACTTAGGGAAGAAAAGGGATTCAACGTGAGTCAATTATGAACAGTCATGGTAAAGCAACTTCATTTCCTGTTTTGATAGGGTTACCACAGCAACAAGAAAATGCTGGTCACAGCTTCTGGGGAACTCAAGCTACTCGAAATGTACTTCCCTTTTGAAAGATTTCATCTTAAGTGTGGTGGAGGGAAAAAAAAATTCCTGCTCTTGAGCTCTGAATTTAGTGAGGAAGACGTCAATACACAACACTACCCTCACAGAAATACACTTCCTAAACACAAAGAGAATATTGGTAGATTAATTCCAAATAAGGATATTAGAGAAAGAATGAAAAATTGGGCCTAAACTCCAGGTATAGTGGTGCAGATTTTAGGTTTTTCGAGACAGGGTTTCTTTGTATAGCTTTGGCTATTCTGGAACTTGCTTTGTAGACCAGGCTGGTCTTGAACTCACAGAGATCCACCACTCTGTTTTCTGAATTCTGAGATTAAAGGAATGTATCACCATCGATGACCCAGATGGCCCAAGGTAGTTTCAGATGTCTTGAAACTGTCCTAAAGCTTGAGGACATAATGAAAAGTTACTTTACATAGGAGAAATCAAGCAGCTATTAGCCTCTACCAAGAGGTCGCAAGGAAACGTGTACCTTCCAATATGACAGAATACAAGCTCTGCTCCTAATATTCTTGTGTAATTTTTTTTTCAAGTCTACAATCCCAACTAAAATGAGAAAAATTGAAAATGGAAAAGAATGTGGGGCCCTTAGGGTGAGACCTGAGAATTTCCTCTGCCTAAAGAGCAACTAAAAGCAAAGTTTATGCAGATATAATTCAAGGAGAGGGCCAGTTTTATCTCAAGGCAGAATTGAACAAACACACAGTTCTAGACAGTCAGGGACAGAACCTTCCACAGCTATTGAGGAATGCCGTTGAAGTCAAGGGTGTCCCTGCATGGAGGCCTAGAGAGTCACTGCACAAAGCTGTGAAAGTTAAGCCAGGATTCTGATGGAGGCCACAAGATGTTGGAGATGACAGGATAGTGTCATGGGACGTCTGCTGAGGAAAACTACCGAAAGAGAATGGAACCAGTCCAAAAAAGAGAAGTATGCAGTCTACAAAGCTGGAAGGAGCTGGAGATCTGAAAAGCTATTTAAGCTTTTTTGATATCAGACATAGAGCTACAGGATTTGGAGTTTGCCCTGCTGGGTTTCAGGTCTTGTTTTGGCTGAGAAAGAAAAGGCAGGTGGATCTTGTTTTGGCTCAGTATTTCCTCAATAATCTCTCTTTCATCCATTTGGAAAGGCAATTCTATGCCATTTGTTGGAAGTATGCAATTTGCCTTTTGCTTTTACAGGGCATTATAGTTAAAAGATTGCCTTGGGTCTCAAAAGAGGCTTTGGATTTTGAAACTGTGTTGAGACTGTGAAAGACTATGGAGACTTTCAAAGTTGGATTGAATACATTTTGTATTATGATATGGTCATGAGCCTCTAGGGGTCAGGGAATGGAATGTGGTGGTTTGAATAACAATGGTCCCCACAGGCCCATATATTTGAACGTTGGTTCCCAGTTG